CCAATAGAGTGCCGCCCGGTGATTATCGCCGTTTCTGGGCTGAAAGTTGTGCCAAATACAGCTATAATGACCGGGTGTTCTATTCGGGTGAAGACGGTAGTAGAATGAAATTCCTGCCCTGTGCTGCTAAGCCCATCAGCCATGGCGGGTGGAATCATTTTGGGCCTGTTGTGACACACAGGAGGCAGATACTCCTATGTTTGGCCACCCTTCCCCACACAACACCTACCGTCTTCCCCCGAATAGAACGCCCGGTCATTATCACTGTATCTAGACGGAAAGTTGCTCCGAAATACGGCTATAATGACTGGGCGTTCTATTCCACTGAAGATGGCGGATGGTAACAATGCCATGCTGGGCCCGTTGGGAAACACAGGCGGTAAGTGCAGCAGCTACGGCAGGTATACCTCACGCCTCACCAAAATTTGGACCATTTTCGATTTATGTGGGTCATCCTTGCGCAGGGGTTATGCTAATCTACTCTGTATAGGTCCAGTTTTAACGGATGTCCCAAAGGACGGTAGCCGTGGTTTAGTTGAGTGGAGCCCAGCAATGATGGAAACAATATCACTTTCTTGCCCGACGATGATGGCTGGATGTTCTGTTTTGTTTGTTGTTTCCTTGATCGTGTGCAGTCGAGGCTGTCGAGTTGGCCCGATGATGATGGCTGACCGAACTTCTTCTTTTGTTGTCTAAGGGCCTCACTCCACTACTCTCAAAATTTGAGAGGGAGGAAGTGTCCTCGGGAGTTTTTTCCCTCCCTTCGGCTGAGCCCAGGGGCATGCAGAGTCTCGGATTCGATCTCTCAGATTCGATGAATTTATAGGGGATCAATGCAGCACCAGATCTAGACGTCCTTGCTGATCTCAGGCCCAGATGGGCCAAAAGGGGCATTATCGAGGATCAAGCATTAGGACGGTGGGCAAATAAATCTTTTTTGAAGTTCTGGGATGTTGATGTTTTTGCACAAATTGCCGGACGCTAACTTCAAGAAGGTGGCCTTGGTCTGATTGATGGTCCATTTAGCCATCCCAACTGCTGAGTGGCTTTCCACTTAAACCACCAGTACTTGGCCCAGCTATCGGCCGCGGAAAAATATAGAGTACAAACGTTTCTTGTTGGATGAATTTGGGCGCTCCTGTAGTGGCCCATACGTTTCCTAAAATCGTGGCGCGTTAACGGGCAGGACTCTAGGAAGTACTGACCCAACTTGCCTCGTCTGACAGTGTGCTCTTGAGACAGAAGACCTTCTACAACCTGTGGGTCAGTTGCCCGTTGCAAAGAAGGGCTTTTGGTGGTCCTGGTCCCAACTTTGCAAACGCCCTTCTCCCCTTCTTATTTCTGCTGATCTGCCCGCTGACGTACTTCTCGGTGCTAATCTGTGGCTGGGATCAGAACTGCGGGTCTCTGTATCGGAAATGACTCGTGCAGACACTTTTGCTGCCTTTAGGACCATCAGCGGACAAAATTTCTTCCTTGGTTCATATGCAAAGACTGGTCATTCTCAACATCAGGCATGATTGATGGTATTCAGGCAGACTTCTTATATAGACACAACAAGACTTCAGTCGTTACTGGGTCGAGCATGGGCACCGTTCCCCAACTTCATTACCAGGTCCTTTGATTTCAATGAAAATCGTTACATTTTTGGGCCGGCACTTTCTGCTGATTGAAAGGATCAGGATGAATGGCAAGTGGAACACCGCTGTCTGCCCACAAATGACTGGCTGATTGATCGGACCTCTTTAGAACAGAAGGGCCTTGCTCTCCCCTGGTGCAAATTATGTGAGACATCATACCCTGCCAGGCGGAGACCAGAAACAATTGAACACATCTTTCTGCAATGCCTTGGGTCAGTCTGGTTATGGAGATGGTGGGATCGAGTATGGCGCCCGTTAGGCGCAACAACCCCTTGGCCATGGAACTGGAAATCGATTCTATGCGAAACATGGCAGCCAGGGCAAGCGAGCAATTTTGAAAGAAACATGTTCACAGTGGGACGTAGAGCAGTCTTTTGGGCAATCTGGTGGAAAAGGTGCATTAGGGAGATGGAAGGAGTCCGCCTCGAAGGACCGGCTGTCATAGAGACAATCCAACACCAGATTCAGGTAGACCTTATGTCTCAATTGGAAAAATAAGGGAAAAAATAGCCTTCATACACTCAAAAACAGAAATCAAATTGCAAATTAAATCTTTCTGTATGGACTGGCTGGGGGGGGAACAAGGAGGCTGGATAGCAAATGTGCAATGGAAAGGGGGGAAGGGAGGGGATGGAGGGATTGAGAAAAAGCTGGGAAGGGACTGCCACCTCCACTTTCATGATTGGACTAGAATTGACCCCTCCATCCCATTGCGGCCTTTTTCAGACTTCCTTGATCTCTTCCCGCCGGCAGCGAATGCAATGGTTGAGATTCAGTGGTATGCAGGTGCCTAATAAAAAGGTCATTTATTGATGTAGGATGAGATCATTTCTTCAAATTGTCTGATTTCTTGTTCAGCTACTACCCTGGTATCTAAAGCAATCATTAATAGGGGGAGGGAGGAACTAGTGTGTAGCAGAAGGGATCTGGCGACGGTTTCAGGACGAAGAGGTTCCCCCTCTCTCCAATTGCCTGTTCAGTCAATCCCCTGGATCCCAGGGTAATTAATGCTGGCAGGAACCTTACAAAATCCTGTTGTGATACATTCCAAGTTCAGTTTGTATATGGGACGCTGGACCCGCTTTCCAGCAGGTGCTGCTCCCCACCAATAGATGGAGCCTCTCCCCAGGTGCTAGTGGTGTCTGCTCTTACCAGCACCACTAACACTGGTGGGGGCGTTTTCAAAAAAAAAAAGAAAAGAAAAAAGGATGACATTGTACTGGTTCATCCTACCCCCTCTGATGACAATCATCATCAGGGGCCCCCTGAGCCTCTTCTGCAGTTCTTAGAAGCGCCATAAGCCATCATTTCTCCGTCACTCTCGTCCAACCACCTATTTAGGTAGCTCGCTTTCTTTCTAGCTGAGCCTCCCTTTTAAACCACCAGTACTTGGCCCAGCTATCAGCCGTAGAAAAAAATAGAGTAGTTGGATGAATTTGGGCGCTCCTGTAGTGGCCCGTACATTTCCTGAAATCGTGGCTTGTTAACGGGCACGACTTTAGGAAGTACTCGTCGTTTAAAGGTGTTTCAGCATTCAAACCGGGTGCAGAGCTGACCATTAACTTCAAGCCAGTCGCTTAGACAGCGCCTGGGAATCTGGGATTGACCTCTATCGTTAATGTCCGTGGGCAGCCTGAAATTTAACTCCCAGCCTACCGCAAGCCCGCCACCTGCCCGCTCCCCTTTCCCGCCTTACACACATCCATCAGTCAAATGCACCCTGGGCAGACTCTGAACGCCACAACGCCTCATTGACACCCCAAATTTCCCTCTCTCTCTCCCTTTCTTTCTTTTTTTTTTTTCTTTTTTTCTTTTTTTTTTAACAAAACAAGGCCCCATCTATTCTGGGGGGCAGCAGTCTGGTTGCTTATCACCAGCAAGCATGAGGGAACAAAAAGGGGGGGGGGCCGGGAAAAGAAAAGAAAGACCTTGCCCTTGTGGCTCGAGACGCCAGGAAGGGGGTACTGCTAGGGTCACCGTCCTTCTTTCATGATCAGCAATTTATGCCACGTCATTCTCTCTGCCATATCATTTCCTTCCCTTCCTTGTATAAGCCTCCTCTGTGTGTGTGTGTGTGTGTGTGTGTGTGTGTGTGTGTGTGTGTGTGTGTGTGTGTGTGTGTGAAAAAGCCTCAGTAACCCCCCCATCTGCCGCGCACAATTTTTGCGCTAGGACTGCATGTGGCCCATGGCTAGATCAGAGATCAGGCATGTTGGGAAGCCAAGGTAAATCCTATGGGGAAGGGTGTGAGGACAGGCAGGGTAGAAAAATCAATCACATGCAAGTCCGCGGAATACATGCATGGCACACCAGAAAATGACATGCGCAGAGAGAGGGGACTCTCCAATTCTCAACCATCATCTATGAGGTCTGCGGTGCTTTGATTCAGCATGTGCACATTTCTATGCAAACTCGCCCTTACCCTGCGCGGCTGCGCCTCATTTGTGGCTTACTGGTGCAGACATGACATGTTGCTACATGGAGGATTTCAAACTCTCATAGATACAATAATCTTAGGGGTTAGCCTCCTTACAAAAGAGGGGAGGGGGGAGGGAGGGGGGGGGAGGGGAGAGGAATACTGAAAACAGTGAAAAGTTAACTATTTTTCATCTTTGCTGGGTGTTTGGAGCCATAATGGCAGTAAGAGCTCTGGTCAATGTAACTCTCATCAACCTTGTCATCTTACTTTCATTGAAGAGTCTGAGAATGGTTTCGGCTGTGTTGCTCATGTATGTGATCTGTTTTTTTTTGTTTTTTTTTTTTCTCTCTCTCTTGTGTTTTTGGTGGAAAAAGGGGGCCCAGTGCCCCAAGGCTTTGATTATGAATTGTGAAATACAAGAGACAGTACCGGGGTCCTTCCCGGTTTCGGCTTACGCTGGAAACAGGTCCAGCAACCCCATCAACCAAGAATGAAAACCATGATGATAAGAGTGATTATGAAATCTCTATACCCACATGTGCACATCTCAGAAAGCTTACCATTTCTGCCATTGGTGGTGGTGTGTTCTTTCAGGTAAACGTCAGCCCCACGTGAAAGACAGCAATCTCACCCGGGGAGCTGCGATTAGGTCTTCTGACATCTAGATGTCGGTGTGAGAGAACTTGGAGCTGGGAACCCTGGTGCATGTGTCCATGCACATGAACACACACACACACACACACACACACACACACACACACACACACACACACACACACACACACACACACACACNACACACACACACACACACACACACACACACACACACACACACACACACACACACACACACACACACACACACACACACACACAGATTCTGAAGGGGGAGGGCCAAGCTAGAGGAGTTGAGTGGAAATAGTGAGCCTGGGAGTGGTGCCAGTGTGCGGCCAGTCAAGCTAAACAGTTCATGGTGGAGTGAAATTCAATATAGTTCGAGAGAAGTTTGATACTTTGACAATGGGGATGGAGTTGGAGTTCAATGAAGAAGTATTCAAGTGGGATAATGGACTTCTCAAGTCAGTGGCAGACCACCGACAATACCGATGTATTACTCTTCCCAATGGTCTGAAGGCGCTTCTGATACATGATCCAGAGATTCAGGTGGACAACTCCCACAAGGATGATGATGATGATGATGATAAAGACAACAGTGATGCCAATGGTGATGAGGAGATCAATCGTGTCCAAGGCAAAGAGGAGAAGGGGGGAAAATCATCTGCATTAAATGGAGATAAGAAGAGCCATGTTACTCCACGTAAACGATGGAGGACGAGCACAAATGCTATCACTGCTCTCAGGAGGATGAGAGGGATGGCTGCTGAAACCGAGAGAGGTAAGGCACAGAAAGACGCCTCCCCTTCCTCCGAGGAGGCGAAGGACAAAAGTAATGCAAACCCGCTGAGACGATGGAGGACGAGCACAGCCACCATCACTGCTATCAGAAGGCTGGAAGAGTTGGTTGCTCAAACCGAAAGGATGAGAGCAAAGACTGCTCACATCCATGACTCCTCAGAGAGAACGCAGTCTGCGGACAAGGAAGGGGCTGCCGTCACAGGAGGTGTTAAGGGTACAAAGGCCGTCCCTGTGGCAGAAGTTGCAGCTCCTGCTGCTGTTCCTGATAGTAGTAGCAAGGACATGGTCGCTGAATGCTCCGCGCTTGATGACGATTCTCCTTCTGGCACTGTGGAGAGCAAGATGCCAAGCAAGGAGTTGAGATCCACGCAAGAAACCGAGAAGGAGAAAATTGGAGAGGCGGATGAAACGACTGTACCAGAGTGTGAAGCTGAAGGCGATGAGAGCAGTGTCAATGATGAAGTTGAAGAAAATGGGAAAGAAAAGGAAGATGAACCCGGTTTCACCAAGGATGTTAGTATGACCATCTATCAACCTACTCCTCTGACTCTACTGCATATCTAATACCATATATAAACCATATTTATAGATTCTATACCTCTGAATTCCCGCCATGATCCCAGTAGAATACTTTCTTCTTTTTTTTTCTTTTCTTTTTTCTTCTTTTTTTTTTTCTTTTTTTTTTTTTAAACAGGGCCTTATGGTCCTGGCTCCTTCTATTCTGGGGAGCGTCAGTCCGGTTCCTATTCCACCGGCAAGTCAGAAAATATATTACATCACAGCAGAAAACTCACGCTTCCTCCCGTATGGCCAGAGGATCCCTGAGCAGCATTGATTACTCCACAATAGGTGGAGGATTGACTGTCAGCTTGCCATGACTCACTCTTTCCTCTCAGATCTGAAAAACCAGCTCTGCCAGATAACCTTTGTCGCCTAGAAAGAGTTCGCCCATTGTTTCTACTTGCCTGTGCTTTCCTCCTCATCAGCCCTGCCCATGGGTCACCGTCTTCCTTTTCTTTTTTCCCCTCGAAGAGTTCGCTCGTTATTTCTGTATGCCTGCGCTCTCCCCCTCCTCTGTTCTGCCCATAAGTCGCCGTATCCCCTAAACCCCTAAGCCTTCTCCCTTCTCTTGAGGTCTAACTAAACCCTAAACCCTAAACCGTGTTCCTCGTTTGGGAGTGTCCTTTTAAAAACTCTCCTCTCCTGCTCACGCCTTCCGTTTGCGTATTTCCTGACCCCGACTGCAGCTCCCCAAGTGTAGTGGTCCGAGTCTGAAGCTTTCTCTTTAGAGTTCTGATCTGGGGGAGCTTTGCCCGTGTACAGCAGCGTTTCTTCCTGAGTTAGAGTTGTGTCATTCCTTCCATCCAGTAGAATACTTTCCATCTCTTCTGTTCTCTTACCTGCTCTCTTCCCCGCTCTCTTTCCCGGTCTACTCTCACATTCATTCTTGTCTGCGACCTCGGAGTCCCACCGTTTTATCGCCAATCCACTATACATACAGTGAAAGGAGGGGTTAAAAGTTGTAACTTGTTTCTCATTCATCCCTCTTGTTAATAGTGAATCCAGAAAAAAAGACATTTTTGGGCTCCATGTCAATGTTCTTTTTTCCCCTCTTTTCCCCCGAACGCTTCTCCAACCAACATTTCTGTCTGATTATCGATCATGAAGCTCGACGGCCCCGAACAAAGAATCTGGGTAAGTGGGAGTGGGACCGAGCTCCAAAAGAAACTGCCTCTAGGCCCTCTACCTCCTCCTCAGCACCTGTTCCTAAAAAAGAGCAAGGGATATAGTTACCCGTTCTTAAACCAAACAAATGAACAAAAGAATGATCAGCTCAAAATTGTGGAGATGGTAAGTCATACGGTGGGTGCTCGTGCAGTAGGGGTGCATCTTTTTCAGTTCTACACTCTACTCTACTTTCTTTTCTTTTTTCTTCTTTTTTTTAATTTGGACCATTTCTCGATTTATGTGTGTCATCCTTGCGCAGGGGCCATGCTGATCTGCTCTGTATCGTTCTGATGTTAACGGATGTACTAAAATCATAGTAAAATGCTCTTTTTTTTTCTTTCTTTTTTTTTCGCCTTGACACTTTCACGCTCATATTGATAGTCAATCAAGGGAGGCCGGGGGGACCTCACAATTCAACCCGGAGTTACCCTGGCAGCATTAGCCAGCTTCGCTTATAGCCTTCAGGGCTATAGATAGATTCAGGTAATTTGACGCTACCTTCTTCCCCCGAATACAACGTACGGTCATTATAGCTGTATCTAGACTGAAAAATGCCTCAAATACAGCTATAATGACCGTACGTTGTATTCGGCGGAAGAAGGTAGGTTCAAAGCAGACCAGGCTGCCCTACCACTACGCCTCTGTCTTCTTCACTAGTTCCTACCTACCCTTCTAGCTATTTCTCTCTATATCTAGTTCTGCTCCTTGGACTAGCACGGCCCAGTGGACTCGAGTCCTCCTACCGTCTTCACCCAAATAGAACGCCCGGTCATTATAGCTGTATTTGGCACAACTTTCGGTCCAGATGCAGCGATAATGACCGGGCTTTCTATTCGGGTGAAGACGGTAGACGTGACACTCTCCTAACGACACACTGTGACCCTATCGTAACCAAGTGTCCAAGTTGTCTTTTTTTTTTTCTTTTTTTCCAGTTCTACTTAACAATTGCTGTTTTGTAATTTGTCTTTTCACTTGGCAGACCACAGATTCTGTCTATCCCAGAAAAAAAACTCTCCTTGCAAACGGACAAACAAGGGAAACACACCCAGGTTTGATCCTTACATCTCAGGCCATGCGCGTACTCGCTCTATCTTAATGTATCTGACCGCATTTATGGTCGGACCTGCATGTACCTGACCGCAATTACATCCATAGATACGTGAAACAGTCCTAGTATAAGTACGGCCGCAGATGCCAGAGATTCAGTGCTGAATTCCAAAACCTCAAATATCTGTCCCAAACTGTAAGAAGCGCTAAGAACTCAATACAAGAGGTACCCTCAAGCATTCAAAAAAAAACGAGTCTAACAAGTAGAACAGTTTCAGTGAAAAATAGACAAGCATTCCGTGAAATTAAGCCCCCCAGTTAATCACGTCTGGTGGGCCATTAAGCAGTCCTCAAGTGAACTTGAACTAAGAGGACGAGCTAACAGGAATGCGAACGCATTAGATTCAGAATCGTCATACTCAAACGAGCAACAAGTGGAATATTTAGAAGGAGGCGGAGGACCAGGTGGACATAGAATGGCTGATATGTCAAAGATGACGATGAAAAGAGTGCAAGGTAGTGTTTTTGAAGCAGAAGCAGAAGCAGAAGCAGAAGCAGAAGCAGCAGCAGCAGCAGCAGCAGCAGCAGAAGAAGAAGAAGAAGAAGAAGAAGAAGAAGAAGCAGAAGAAGAAGCAGAAGCAGGAAGAAGACGAAGACGAAGACGAAGACGAAGACGAAGACGAAGACGAAGAAGAAGACGAAGAAGAAGAAGAAGAAGAAGAAGAAGAAGAAGAAGAATAGAAGACCACCCTGATGCGGATATAGTCTTCTTGGGGTCCTTCCTCAAGGGCTGGGGAAAAAAACAAGGTTGAATGGGAACATGAGAGGGAGCCAGTTGTGACATGAGTAGCATTGAGTTGCTTGAGTACTAGACTGCACTACTGAAAATGGCATTGTTTCAAACAAGAATAGTGGTAGTTGAAAGACTAGACAGATCACTGATTAGCCACCATTGAAACAAACACTTCTGGTTTTCACACGTGTCAGGCTGCAGTGGCAATTTGCATTAAAATTGGGAGCATCTACGATCCAGAAGATTCCTATGGGTTGGCACACTTTCTCGGTGAGTTCCTCAATGATCCTCTTCCCGGGTGAGTTTCAATTCAAGGCAGCCCAGATGAACACTTCCGCACTTGACCATTGAGAAGTTGTCGACTCATTTGACCACCCTTTTAATCAAGCTTGGTGAATTTCTGAACTCTCTCTCTCTCTCTCTCTCTCTCTCTCTCTCTCTCTCTCTCTCTCTCTCTCTCTCTCTCTCTCTCTCTCTCTCTCTCTCTCTCTCT